ACTGACAGGTCAGTGGTTTCAGTGCACCCAGCAGGTCAGGGCTCAGTCATCAGTTCTGATGTGACTGAAAAGGACTGAGCAGCTGCAGCTTTCATTGAGCTCACCTGTGAGGATTTAGGATGGAGACAAATACCAGAGCAGGCACCAGGAGCTGTTTTAATGTCTGGTGACCACGTTTAGTCTGGTCGGCTCAAAGCACTTTACAGCTTAGTTCAGCAGAATTGTTCCTCTTTCACTGTTAGTGAAGACAGCTGAGATGAAAGGAGTTTCCATTTAATGGTGGCAATCACACTAGAAAATAGATTGGAGTGCAATTTTTTATGTATCACAGTACTGCATTCTGTACAAAGCTATACTGGCAGATTTGTTCCTCATTGAAATATATAATACAACTGATGCAATGCAATTAATAAGACTAAACTGGCAGGAAACTAAAGAGTCACGCATAAGTTCCTGGATTTGGGTTATATCACGGCATCTGGCTGTAAAATCCACATTAGAAGGGCTTTTCTGTAATAAATATTCTAAAATCAAAGCCAACACCTGGCAAATGAGCAGGATTCTTCAATCCTTCTGTATCCACTTTAGTGAGGCTGGATTTTTTGGGAGGCACGACTGTCTTTTCCTCCTAGCAATCGCTGCAGCGATTTCCAGTCACAGAACGAGGTCATCTGGGGCACCTTGCTGCCTAATTTCTGCACAAAGAAACTATCTCCTCTTTATAAAGGCCTCGTGGTGATTCTTTAAGAATTTCTTCCTAAGAAGTGATGGCTGGGATCAGTGGTTGCATAGGTTGATGGTGAAAACATAATATGGTGGGAAAAACAAAATCCTAACATATGGTAGATAGTTTGTTGTACCAGAATAGCACGTTTCTGCAGCAAAGAGATGTTTCTGTTGAAAGAACAAAATTCAGTTTAACTACCACAGAGCATTCTCCCAGAGACAGGCTAGCAAGCCTGGAATGGGATGTGCTGTGAGTTTTGAGCTTTGTATTGATGCTGTTCTCTCTACTGTGCTATTTGTGTCAGGTCAGTCAGGACCTTCAGTTGGAAACTTTCCTTAATCAGAAACAGACATCTGGGGGAAGCAGAGGGCAGCTGGCTGTACTGCGGTCAGTGTCCACGCTCAGGCCAGCTGGTCAAAGCACCTCAGTGCATTCCCAAGGAAGATGTTTTTTTTAAAGTGTGGCTTTTCTCTAAGCACCAAAATTTGGAGCACATTTCCCTCCCCTTCCTCATTAAACACAGCTTCACTTGTAGATACCAAAATCTCCTTAGGTTCTAGCCATAGACAGTGAGCTTTTTCAGCCTGGCTCCCCTCCTTTGACTTTGATCTTCTAACACATTGTAGTTTATGCAGAGGAAATGGGACTTTCTTGCTGTTTGCAGGTCCTGCACATTCTGTAGCTCTGGTAGTAGAAAACATCTGGTGCTTCTATTTGATCTACAATATTACTTGTCAGGCTCAAACAAGAGGGAAATAATCTCCTTTTTTCATGCTCTACAGCCTGGTTCTAATTTGTCACAGTCCCTTTTCAACCAGGTCAGAGAAAATGATGAATCTTTTCACCCCTGGCAGCAGAGAGAAAAGCCTGGTGGGACATCCTTGGAGCAGAAAGTGAAGAGAGAAGTAATTTTTTGACATAAAAGGAAAAAACAATCACTGGGCTAGAAGCAATTTTGCTTTGCAAAACATAAGATGGTTCGGATGGTTTGCAAACTAATGGTACAAACATGATGGTTTGGCAAGTGGAAAAAGGTAGAGTTGCCACATTATGACTGTTTTTGCCTCCTTTGATTTTCCTGAGGATGCACTGAGCTACACAGAGGTATAGACGCAACTGCCAGAGGCTTTGCAAAGTAGCTTCATGCAGTGGTTTGAGTGTAGGACGTTGTGCTGGGAGATCTGGTAGGCTTTCTTCTGACTTGAGTGTGTATATAAGAAAGAAATGTATAAACAGAGTAGAAGTACAACATCATAATAACCACAGTCTGGCACCCTTAGTACTGGAGCCAGCTGTGCTGCTGGGCTTGAGCAAGTGTTGGGAGGGTAAGCTAAGCTCTCCCAGTGTTGGTTTCCATGCCTACAAAATGCTGGTGATGTTTGCTCCCCTTTGAGGTCAGTAGGCATGGAAGTCTTTTTATCAGAGCAAAGCTCGCAGTGCAGCTCTCAGTTCTCCTGACACGTAAAAAACCAGCTAAGCAAAGGACAGCCCAACCTTCAGTCCTGAGTGAGTCAAACAGCAACCTTTAGGGCAGTAACAAAGAAAGAAAATGAATATAAATATGCAATTCTGTGCTGGAGCTGAAGGTTTGCTTAGAGTAACTCATCCACTGCTTAAACTTGGATTGTTCCCCTGGCCCCTCTTTACAAGAAATAAGATGTTGTGCTTAAGTAGTACCAAATATCCCTTCAGCCTTCATCCCTGTGCTGTGTTTTTCTGTTTGTGTGTTGTGTTCCTTTCTTTTGGTCATCCTTGCTTGTAAATGTTTGAAGCTGAGGTGTAGACGTTGACCAACTTATGTTGGTTTCTACTGGATGACCATGGATACACAGAGTTTTTTAGTTTTTCCTCTACAGAACTCAATCCCCTACTGGTAAAGAAGAGGTGCTGATATCCCCATCGTTGTAAGCTGAGGTCTTCAAACAAAGGGTTGACAATATTCTGCTGACTAAAAAGAGGAGGTATCCAGAGCTCCAATGCCAGCATGGTCTGGAGTGCATCACTTGGACACTGCATCAGTGGACAGAACTTCAAGCCTCCATGTAACGGATGCTGAATTTCTCTGTAATCTACTGGCTGTTGGGCTCCTGAGTACAGTTTTTGTAATAAGAATGACTTCTTCAACAATAAAGTGGGGTCCATTTTATTGTGATGCGTTTGTGTGGTGCGTTGTCTCAATTTCCTCAGCAAGGAGGGTTACTTTAGAAAGGAAGAATGAGAGGAACCAGACTGTGCTAAGGACTAAATTACACCGATGGTCAAAGTTGAAGTAATAGTTAATGTACTAATTTCAAAACAGGAAATATACTGGGGAAAAAAAAACCAACAAAACACCTGTAAAAGCTTTTCTTGATTTTCACAATTAATGAGGACTGCTGTGATCCTTCAGTATGTTTTCACCTGCACTTTCTTTTATAGTAAGAAGTGTGTAGGAATGCACTGCAGTCAAGCTGGTAGAAAGACTTCTTTCAGAGCACCTCAGTTGTGCTGTACAAGGCACACCACCGCCTGGAGGATCCTGGAGCTGTTCTGATGAAATCTTGCTTCTCCCAATGAACCAAAGAGAGGTCAGGCCTTCAGACAGGAACACACCCAACATCAGCATCGCCCAAATAAGCGCCATCAGTTGTGCTGAGTGTTTCTGGAGGGAGGACGAGTGGGGTTTGTATCAGTTAAACTTTTCATTTGACCTAATTCTCGAGTACCCCTCTAATTGTTGGATGGAAACTGGTGTTAGAGAGCAGAGAATCAGAATTACTGTAGGGGAGCATAACATTTAGGTAAGCGACAGAGCAATTGTCAGCTCTTGAGAGATGCTCCATCCCTCTGCACTGGGAAATAAAATGAAAAGATGCTCCACTGCTTAGGCCATCTCCCACCTGCTTATTCATGATGGCAGGACATGCAATATTTCTGTTCCTTTTATTCCCCTAGGTACGTGTGCTCAGACCTGCAGCAGTTCAGAGAAGGACTTGGGAGCACCTCCTCTCCCAGCTCCCTTCTGGTGACACGCTGTCTCCATAGGCAACTACAGAGAAGAGACCAAACTTCTTGCATCCACACCCGCAAACACCGACTGGGTTTGGATGCAGGGAAGATATCAGGAAGCTCAACGAGCTGGCAGTTGAAGCAGAGGCGTCGGTGTCGGGTGCTTCAGTTCTATTTTTGGCTTGGACCAAGCATTTCTTTTCGATTCAGCTTTCCATCTGCGAGATGGGAAATAAGGCTGCTTGCGGGTGGATCGTTCTGCTGAGGGCAGGGCTGTCAGCAGGTGATGCTTTGTTGAATTCTGCTTTGTTCTGCTCTGCTTTGCTGCCCACATCTCTGCTGTGCATTCCTGGGCTGAGGATGGAGAAGGGTCACAGCATCCAATGACAGAACTGATGTCAGGTGGGACTCTGCACTGTTACGGCACGGCCTGGGGCCTTCTGCTGCAGCATCTGAGGTGTGAAGGTTCAACTGCTGCCCTTTGGATGAGCCAGGGTGGCTGCAGGGCCAGAGAAGTATACTGAATGGAGCCGCAGCCCTTGTGTAAAGCACTTTCATTGCTGTCCAAGGCACGAATTTGAGTTGGGAGACAGGCACAAGTGGTGGAATTACCATCCCTGGGGGTGTTCAAGAACAGTGGAGGCATGACTTTGAGGGATGTGGTCTAGTGGGCATGGTGGAGCTGGGCTGATGGCTGGATGTGATCTTAGTGGTCTTTTCCAGCCCTCGTAATTCTGTAACTCCATGGTCCAGCACCGTGTGCTTCCACCTGACGTCTCCAGCTCTGGGATTAGCAGCAGACAGGTGGTGAAGGCCAAGTGACAGCTATCAGCTCAGCCCTCCCTTCCTGCCTCTGAGTAAAGGAGCTCCCACATGCTGCAGGTGCCTTCAATTCACTGCGTTCTCCAGACCCCAGCAATGAGAGCCTTCCTCCTTTTTTTTCCAGGAAGTACCTCCAACTCCTCTCGTTCCTCTTGCACCAGTCACAGCTGCTAGAACACGACTTAAGGGAGCCTCTCCCTTCCAGAGCCCCAACCCAGAGCCGCATCTGCGCCTAGCGGAAGGTGAGACCCGCGTTCGCTGTTTTTTTCTTTAAGGGCGCTCCAGCTAGCGGCCAGCCGCTCCCCCCGCTCCCCAGGACCGCCGCTAGGCGGAGCGTTCCCTCCTCCCGCTCCGCTTCCGCCACGGTCGGGGCCCGACAACCAGCGGCATTTCGGTGCGGGGCGGCCCCGGAGCCGCCCCTTTGTTCGCGGGGCGCTGGGGCCGGGCTGCGCCCGCCGCGCCCGGCATCCTCCTTCCTCCTCCTTCTCCTCCTCCCTTCTTTTTCCTCCCCCTCCTCCAATCATCGCAGCTCCCTCCGGCGCGCAGGGAGTGGCACGGCGGCCGCCCGGCAAGGCTGCGAGCTGCGGAAGGTAAGGGGGAACCGCTGGCTGGGGATGGGGGCAGCTCCAACAAAGGAGGGGCGGATGGATGGAAGGAAGGATGGATGGATGGATGGGTGGATAGAGGGATGGATGAGGCTTAGGCTCATCTCCGGGGCTGGGCGCTGTCACCACGGATCTGCCGCGGTGTAGCATTGTCCTTGGGTCGTGGAAGGAAAGGCACCGTCCTCGTTACGCGCTGTATGCCAGGGGCTGCGCTGTGCGCTCCGGGTGGGGCCGTGCTGCCGTACTGCCCTGCTGCCGTGCTGAGCCCCCGCTGTTCGCCCACCTGGGAACGGCCCGAGTCCGGGCGGCGGCCCCGTGGCCCTGCTCAGCTCCGGTGCTGAGCGATGGAGGTCGGGGTGGGCGTCAGCATCGAGCGCCGAGCGAGTTCGAGCTTTGCAGCCGGAGGACTGTTTTTCTTTTGTCTCCGGCTGCTGGCTGGGCTGGGTCTCCCGGCTGCCTTTTTGTTCTGATATAACCTAGCTATCGACTAGGGCTGTAGGAGTGGCTGCGGTGGGATTATTTTTGTTTGCAGCAAGGAGATGTGTTCCTGTGTGCTGCTGGGGGATGGCAGCACAGATCTCGGACAGACCGAGCGGCTCCTTCGCCTCCTGGCCCGTAGCACCGAGCCGGGGGGGGCCGGGGCAGAGGCGTGGTGCTGTCTTGGGGTATTGGGGTGGCTGCAGCTGCAGTAGGGGAGAGCTGGGAGACAAAGCGCTGTCAGTGCTGCTCAGTGTCAGCCTCAAAGGGCCACAAAGCCCAGCTTGGGAGCAGAGCATCCTGCTGGAGCGGATGGCAAGTTTCATCGCTGCTGGCTTGAAGGTTTTCCATGGGGGGGTGACTTGTGTTTTGAGAATGGGTTGGTGCGTGGCTGTGTGTATTCAGGGTGGATATACCTGCATACACATGGCCAGGTTTGTCGGCTTTGTCCCTTTTCCTACCCATGCTGGGTAGTGTTCTCCTATCCAGCGGTGCTTCAGGGCCTCTTCAGCCCCCCTGCCCTGCTGGGGAGGGGATGCTTTCAGCATAACGCAGCCCCTTGCCTTGAGTTTAACTTGAGTTGTTTTAAGAAATGACCTACCTGCTGCTAGAGCCTGCTGGGATGAAGGAGGAGCTGCATGCTGGCAGAAAGGTGCCAGCAATCCCAGGGCTTCAAAGCACAGCACTGCCTCGAAGTGCTGGCACCAATTGCTGCAGCTTGGCAGAGGCTGCACTGCAACCAGTTTGTTTCAGCAGCACGTGTGTGCATGGCATGCCTTCAGTTAAGGGAAAACCTGAGTGTTCCAGAGGTGCTTTTAGGGTAAGCATAGCCTGGGTTGCCTGCTGAGGCTGAGGGCTGTGTCTGCTGTTCTTCTTCGGCCTCCTGCTGCCTGTGGCCCTGGAGGTGCCATTATTTAGGCCAGCAAGGAGCATTCCTGGTGCTCTTCCTCTTTTTCAAAAGAAATGATGAAAAACTTGGAGGGGTTTCCCAGTGTGGAGGGATGTGTAAGGGTTTGTACCCTGCACATCTCTGGGTGGTGATATGGGGAAGGGTTTCACTTTCTGAGGTTGCTGGTTTTATTTTGCAAATGCTTTCTCTATTCATGAAAGTTGAGAGAGAACGAGAATATCTCATATTCTTGTCAAGATCCTGATGAGGACAAGAGGCAGCCTATAAAGCAGGCTCCAGATGCACGCTGTTGGTACTGCTTTCTAGAGTGCATGGCTGCATTGATACAGTGAGTTACAAAGCTCAGGGAGAGCCCATGTACAGGCATTGGAACCTGAGTGTGACTTGTTGCTCACCTGCATCAGACATTGGTGTGGGCTTAGCTCAGAGATTTCTGAAAAAACAGACAGTAGCAATGCCTTGTGACCTGTTTTCCCCTCTGTCTCCCAGGGGAGCACAAGAGCAGCCGTGCAAACTGCTGATAAGGGACAAGCAAGTGCTTTCTGCTGCTGTGTTAGATGGCTGGCAGTGCCTGCCTGTTGTATCACTGCTTGGTGTGACTGGGAACGTGGAGCCCAGCAAGACTGGGGCCTTGTAGTACACCTGGCCTTCTGACACCTAAATCAGAGCTGCTGATAAAGAGGGCAGACTGCCAGAGGTCACTCTGGGAGCCCACAGTGAACACTTTGTTGAGCTGTGGTGCAAAATGGGACAAATCCAAATCGCTTTATTCGTGTTTGGGTTTAACTTCTCACTCTCGTATTGCTGTAGCTAGCAGTGGAAAAATGACTTCACTGCATGTGACTGAGTCTGGCACCTTCACATAATACTTAGTGCTGTTCCTGAAAAAAAAAAGAAAAAAAAAAAAACCAACAAAAAAACCCAAAGAAACCTCACTTTAACAAAAAAAAAAAAGAAAGCAGGATTCCTGCATCAGGCTGTGTGGAGATGATTCCCTTGACGTGGCACCGTTCTTCATTTTCTAAAGGAGTGAGATGGTGTCCATAAAATAGCTGTGGTTGCTTCAGACTGGGCGTAAGCCAAGAAGTGTGTGCAGAGAAATAGCACTGAGCATTGTCGGGTTTTGCTATCAGTTCTGGTGTGATGGGGTCGAATGTGATGCTGACTTGAATTGGGCGACTTGTTTATTTTGGGAGCTCGTGTTCTCAGCTCTAATGCTAACTCCCTGGGTGACTCCATCTGTGCCTGGGGCAGCCAACTGGTAATGTTTAAGCAGCATTTATACTCTGTCTATAATCAATCAGAATGACTTCGCAGGTCTTTCGTGTGCTGATAGAGGAGGGGAGTGATTCATCCCCACTATGTGATCTTGGGAAAATCCTTTCCATCTCTCTGTCAGCTCCTCTCGACTGTGTGGTGTGGTGACTCTCACTGCTTTGAGGTCTGAAGATGAAAACTGTGGGTGTTGCATATCCAGACCTTGGGGTTGAGGTGCTTTTAATCCTTCTCCTGTGCTCCCCCATGCAGTTTCTTTAAGGAAGATAATGCAAGTAAAAGTGTATTGCTTGTCCCATGGCTCTTTTTGGGAATCCAATTGGATTTTACTGAACAACTGGTGTAGTGCAGGGAAAGCATGCAGTGGTATAGGTTACACCAGAGGGAACTCACTGAAATCTGGGATGATGAAAACCCCACGGGGTGATCTGACCCATCTGTCTGTCCCAGGTCCCTTTTGCTGGCTGATCTGTTCTTCTTCCACTGACATATTCCTCCCCCGTTATTTATTGCATCATGTTTTGGGAACGCTTGTGTCTGCCAATTAGTGCTGGAAACTTTTCAGCAGTGCTGCCAGGCGGGGAGCAGCCGTTTGTTTCAGCAAGCAGTGCTTTCCCAGCCCTGCAGATGCTCCCATTCACAACCTGCAGTCACATCCCTGAAGCAGAAACTGTCCTGGGTGTTGCTACAAGCCCTGGGAAAGGAAGCTTCTTCTGGAAGGTACAGAGGGGCAGCTGTGCTGTGACATGAGTTTCATGGGCTCTTTAGCCTTGTGTTTGCCTGCTGGGCAGTGTTTGTGATGCTGCCTCTGGTCAGCCCCCTGCATGAAGCCCATCCTGGTGGTGGAAGTGCTGCTAACTATATTTAGCTGATAGCTGTTTGTTTTATAACAGCGAGGTCTGTGCAAACTGGAGTAGGTCAGCTTGCAACCTTGAATAAGTATTCCTATTTCTCTGGACTTTTTTCCAAGATTGTCAACTTTGTGGGATGTTCTAGATGGTGATCAATCCACCAGCCATTGCTAACGGAGGTTTAATGATAACATGGCACAAACACGGAATTACAGGGATTTTTGCCTTTTTTGTGCTTGGTTGTGTCTTCTGCTAAGCTGAACCTGCTTGATCACCTGCTGTCAGGACTTCCCAGAGCACAAGTTTCTGATGTTGGAGCTTTACAGTTGTATTGCTTAGGTGTTCCCTTTGAAGCACTATGGGAATCCCATTGGCCAAGACTGTGAGATGTCTCAATCCATGAGATTAAACAGCTGTTTTGTGGCAGTTTATTTGGTGTTGGGAGGAATAGTAACATCTGGTGTTAGGAGCATCTAAATCTGAAATAAGGTTATGTGTTATTACTTTCAGCACACACATGTGGAAATGTCAGCCCGATGGATGCTCTTGGGTGGGTGATTGTATGGCTCAGGTTTATGGAATGCCATGATATATTCTGCCTTGGGGTGCCAAAAATGGAGAGTGCCCTTTCTAGAAGAGGTAACAACTTGGTTTTTATTCTTCCTTTTGGGGTGAAACAGGACCAGACTGGGTTAGAGATGTTGTGCTATTACTCTGTGTTATAATCTGCTCAGGCTGTTGCCTGTAGCCCCTCTATGCTTGGTTAGATATGATTATATCTTGGTCTGCTTAGGAAATCACAGCTGTGGTCCTGCCCAGCCACCCAAAGCTCTCAAGTCAAACCTCCCCCATGTAAGGCAGTGGGCAGCCATCCTATGGCTGTGTGTGTGGCTCAGAGCCTGAAGGCACCAGGCTGCAATCTCAGTTTCTTTGCTCCTGGTACAGTCTGAAGTCAATGATAAATTGCAAGGTGTGGTGCAGGGCAGAAGAAGACAATGTAGCAATGCTGTCTGATAAGGATCCCGTTGGATCCAACTTGATCAAAAATCATAATCATTTTTGCATTGATAAGAATGGGAAATGATAGAACCATAGAATGTCCCAAACTGGAAGGGACCCATAAGGATCATCAACTCCTGGCTCCACCCAAAATTTGGATAAGAATTTGAGTAAGAGGTGATGCGTCGTGTGCTGTGATGTTTGTGAACTACCTGAGCTCCTGGCTCTTCTGAGTGCTGTTGTGCTGGGGTTGCAGGTAATGAAGTAGGAAGCTCTGAGCAATGCACTCTGGCCAACACAGAGCTGTTACCAGCCTCCTTGTCCCCACTACTGGTTCTGTTGGGAGTTGTTGGGATGGTGGTGCCAGCTGTGGTCCATACAAGTTGTAGTGCTTGATAAGGTTGGGAACAAAGCTGCTATCAGTGTGTGTGGCATAGGGTCAGCTTCAGGGTGAGGGAGGAGAAGGATGCTGC